CTGTCTCCTTGTCTATCAATCAGTCAACCAACTTTCCCACCCAGCCGAGAGCCCAAACACACCAGCCTCCCCCGCCTCAGTTCCCAAATACCAGCCCCCCCCACCACTTTCAGTTCGTATTTGTTATGGAGAATAGTTTTCGCATTGTTCCCAAAAGGATTTTCCCGTTGGTTTGGTTTTAAATGGAAAGCTTAATGAACAGGGACTGAGCGCGTGGGGAGAGGTAGGTGGCCTAGCTGGCTGGCTGGCTGGTTGGTGGATAACCTCAGGAGACCCTCCCTCTTCCAACTGCTGTGGGTGTAATAATTGTGACTGATTTTTGGGATTTGTGGTCTTTTGCCTGATTGAAGTTCTGTGGGATGTGTAGAGAGAGCATTTGATGTGGTTGATGGCGGCAACCCAAAGACGATCTATTGGCAGAGAGAGGCCACGAAATTGAATAATGCTGTTGGAACTTTGTATACGGAATACCAACCAACACAAAGAGGGGAAATGCTGCTTTGAAGGATCTCCAAGTGGCGAGATAATTGACATGAGAGGGCTACAAGTGACCATAGGATGTATTTCCTTTGATAAAAGCTATGAATTGAGAGTCCAAAAAATACGTAATCCATACATAATCAAGGAATAATCCTTTCCCTGTCACCAATACAAATATTCCGCAGCACACGACCTACTTTGGACCTTTCGACCGACATCGAATGCATTTTAAACTACAAAAAAAGAAAAGACTGCTACGCGAATACATAACATAAACGGAATCGATGGAGCTGTAAAAGGAACAGCAAAGAAACTGCCATATTGTTTTGCCCAAAATCGTCAGCATTGTGTTGCAGTCTGCTCCCAAAACCCGAAGCATCATCATCATCATCGTCGTCGTTTTCATTCGTCAATGACGGTAATGCGGAATGTGATGAGGAATGGATGATGGTGGTTTGACGTGCCACAGATCTATGCGATTGCTGTTTTGATGGCAGGGCATCAGCACTTTTCTGTTGTGTTTGTGACGCAGCGAAAAGTGGAAGGACTAAATCTGAGCCGTAAAATTAAAACAGTGACCGAAATATGTGCTTTAAATATTTAGTGATAGTGTCTGAGTCTTCCAGCTGTAACTGCAGCGAGCTTTAATTGAATAGAAAAAAGTCCATTTATTTTCAGACCTTGTAGATCATTCCGCAGTCATCTTTGTCCACTTGCCGGAGTCGTTCCTGATTTAACGAGCACTGCTGGCTGATGCTGCATGCAGCTCCTACTGTGCTGTGCAACACAATTGAATTCTCCATTCGATGATGCTGCCCCAGTTCACTTTCTAGTGCTGCTGATGAAGCTGACATAAAACAATGCAATGGACGATTTTACGAATGTGAGCGGCGGCTCGCTTCCCAAATAAATGATTCTCTCTCGTTGGTGTGGTGTGTGTTTTATTTTATTTGCCATTTCACTTGCCTCGTTTTTTTTTTTTTTTTCGTTGTTTGTTAAACCAAACTGACAGCAAGCCATCTCCATTTCCAAAGCCCCTTTGAACTACAAAATATTCACTAATTTGACGAAAATTGGTTGAGACAGCGCGCCGCGCGGCTGTCAAATGAATGTTGGGTTTTTTTTATTTTTTTCTCTCTCGAATTTGTGCCTATTGTTTTGCTCTGATTTTAAATGGCAGCAAACGGAAATCGATTCAAATTCGCTGTACCCTTAAAACATTTCCCTTTTTGCTTTGCTAATGGCTTTATTATTTATTTATTTTGTTTTCATTTTCCAATATTTTATTCAAATTCGAAATTTCAGTTAATTAAATGCATGGTTATTTCCGTGGTCATAGCTAATAATTGCATTCAAATGTTTTCATCAATGAATGTCCATGAATGAGGGAGGACTGAAACTCTAACGTACAGTGCCACTCAACTGGATATAGGTTCAACATTTAAACAAAGGAAAATTGCAAAATATCTTTTGAAAATATTGAGAAATAAAATCATAATAAAAATATAAAAAAATATATAAAATATATAAAATATATAATAAGTATCAGCTCTTTTTTTTTTTGTGTTGAAATCTGAGTGTCATACAAAAATCTCTGGTTTCGAAATTTTCGTTGCCAAAAAAAATTCCCAAAGCCCAAAGCCCGCCCAATACTTCAAGGATTTAATAAAGTACATAAAGCTGTCTCCCTATCCCAAATCTGGAAACGTATATCATCATTTGATTGGCGCGTACATTTGTTTTAGTCGTTAATTTATATGTTAATTAAATGCCATCTTGTGTGGTGGGTGGGTGTTGGTTCGGCAGTTGTTGTGCTGCTGTTGCGGCAGTTTTGTTAATTATTTTTTTCCCTCTATACACACATTCTTTTCTGCTAGCTCCGTTCATATCCTTGTTGGATTCTTTGTAATTATTCTTTATTAAATGCGTTCGCAGAAGAAGGAAAATAATTAAAAAAAAAGAGAAGGTTTTTCTTCGTTGGCTGCTTATTTGTAATTATTGGCAGACCGAACTGAATTAATTGAGTAATTCGGCATGGCCTTGGCAATTGTATGCTTTTATTATGATTATTTTCTTGGCTGTGTGTTGCCTTGCCATTACAAATTGCAGCACATTTATAACACTTTCCGTTTGTATCGCAAAAGTTAATCGTACTTCAGTCAATCTTTGTTTAATCAAATGATGGTTCGAATCTTCCTTTTTCTGGCACTGGCGGGGGCCCATTAGTTGCTATTATTATGCTCATTACACTAAATGATGGCTAATTTCTTTGCCACACTCTAAAATGGGTCTTGGAGGCCGGCTGTTTGGCCTTCGGGTGTTTGGCAAATTACCGGCCATTAGCAATTGAATGGAAGGAAGATACAAGGTATCCCTGTATCTTTTGTTGTCTGCGGTTATTGTTGGTAGTAACTGCAGCCATTAACTTGTGTTCTGTGGTCATTTATTGATTCGACATGGCTGGGAAATTGTACACCAGGAGGCAGTATTTTGTGGCTTGATATAAGGCATGTAAAAGGGCGCTAGGCAAAAATTGCTACCTCTCATGTCATGAGACATGAAATGCAATGCAATTATTTATTCCATTTGATTTTCTTATCAAACATTCTAAAAGTAATTTCAAAAGGTTGAGGGAGGAATGACCTTCTTTGATTGTATTTATTTAAGAATTAACGGCTGTAATTTGAAGTCCAAGTCGAAGTCTAGTTAAAATAAATTATTCTATCGACCATGCGAATACGAAAATTATCGCTCAATAAGTGTATTTACTTTGCACTGATCAGCGCTCTGCTGTTAATATTTGCTTTTAAAATCATCGTTCTGAAGGAGTCGCCCGCCAAGCCCTGGTTCTTCGATAATGGTGAAGACTATCCCCTGCCGACTAAGGGGATGGGCATCAAGCTGCTGCCATTTCAGGATCCCGAAAAGGACCGCATTGTCAATCAGCTGATGTACGTGCCACACAACTACGAGGAGATCAATGCCAGCGGCCAGCTGAAAACCATTCTCCTCGTCCATGGCCTGCTTCAATGGAATGTGAAGAGGGGCCGCGATGTCTTCCTGAGCGACAAGTGTCCAGTAGATAGCTGCGAGCTAACTAACGATTTGGATATGGCTGGCACTGCCGACATGATCCTCTATAAAAACTATCTGATCACGGGAAATGTCAGTTCCACGCGCCTGATACGTACCAATAATACCAAGCAAAACCAAGCAATAATGCCGCGAACAAAACCAAGAAGGTGGCCTGGTTCGTGTCCAATTGTAACGCGGTAAATGGTAGATTAAAGTATGCCCTTGAGCTGCAACATCACATCCAGGTAGAGTTGAGGCTCCTCTCTCAGTTCATGCTGATCTAATTTTCGTTTATTCCATCAGGTGGACATTTATGGAGCATGTGGCAATTTGACATGCTCGCGTTTAACCCCAGAAAAATGCTTTAAGTTACTGGAAAACGATTACAAGTTCTACCTGGCCTTCGAAGACTCCAACTGCATGGACTATATCACGGAGAAATATCTTGTGAATGCCCTGGACCGCGGGGTGCTGCCCATTGTGATGGGTGCCCGGCCGGAGGACTACGAGGCACTTGCACCTCGTCACTCGTACATACACGTGGATAGCTTTGAGTCGCCAAAGGAGTTGGCCGAGTACCTGAAAGTTCTGGACGCTGATGACGTTCAGTACAACTCGTACTTCTTGTGGAGGGGTACGGGGGAATTCATTGACACGCACTTCTGGTGCCGGGTCTGTGCTATGCTGCATAACGAAGAGGAGCTGCTAAAGCCGTACTGGTACGAAGATCACAACCAGTGGTGGCGTGGCCCGGACGTTTGCAGCCACCGCTCTTGGAGGAATAATAGTGAATAGTGAATTTAAATTGGTCAATAAAGTGGAAATGTATTTAAACAAAAGCATAGACTTAGATTAAGTACAGTAGGCCAGCAAGCGAACTGCAAAGAGTATTCCACTTTGGTTCGAATCATTCGAGACATTCATACACTGTTGCTATGTCATCGTATATTCTTTTTGGTTTCTGTGCACCGACTTTGGCCCGTCGGCAAATACTGTGTATTTTGTTGTTGGCTGAGTCGGACTCCCCCAGTTCCCGTCACTCCCACTCATTCCAGTCGTGCCTCTTCGTTCAAATGTTGTGCGTTTGACTTGTATGTGAGGCACAATCACTGACTCAAAGTCTATTGGTTCAGAGTTTGTATTAACTCAATTATTTTTGAGCATTTTTAATTGGAATTGGCTTTTGTTTTTGTCCAGATCTCAGATGTACCTGAGAAGGCATGGAAAAAACTCGACTGGTTAATGTAAACTCATATTTGCTGAGACAAGAATTGCTATGGAATTTATTACTCCGTTTGATTTCAATGTCAATCTACAAGTCGACGTGTTAACAGCAAAACTTATATTTTATTTCTAATTTAACAATTTCCTTAATACTTATGAATACTAAATTTACAAAAGTAATTAACTAATTTCAAGCACCATCAGTTGGTGCGTCTTGCGTCTAAAGACTGTTAATAATAAGTCCAAGTTAAAAGGAATGATTTTATCGAATATGCGAATACGAAAATTATCGCTCAAGAAATGTATTTACTTTGCACTGATCAGCGCTCTGCTGTTAATATTTGCTTTTAAAATCATCGTTCTGAAGGAGTCGCCCGCCAAGCCCTGGTTCTTCGATAATGGTGAAGACTATCCCCTGCCGACTAAGGGGATGGGCATCAAGCTGCTGCCATTTCAGGATCCCGAAAAGGACCGCATTGTCAATCAGCTGATGTACGTGCCACACAACTACGAGAAGATCAATGCCAGCGGCCAGCTGAAAACCATTCTCCTCGTCCATGGCCTGCTTCAATGGAATGTGAAGAGGGGCCGCGATGTCTTCCTGAGCGACAAGTGTCCAGTAGATAGCTGCGAGCTAACTAACGATTTGGATATGGCTGGCACTGCCGACATGATCCTCTATAAAAACTATCTGATCACGGGAAATGTCAGTTCCACGCGCCTGATACGTACCAATAATACCAAGCAAGTCTGGATGCTCTACAATCTGGAGTGTCCCTATAACACACGCAAATTAAAGGTGCCAGATGTCATTAACTGGACGGCCACCTACAGGTGACTCTTCCCCCTAATTTATGTGCATCTAATCATTGCGTACTATAAGTTTGTGTTCCCTTATTGGCAGACGCGACAGCACCATCGTTGCGCCCTATTCGAAGTGGGTGTACTACGACGACAACGTCCAGCAGAAGCAGCAGCACCGAAACTATGCCGCGAACAAAACCAAGAAGGTGGCCTGGTTCGTGTCCAATTGTATCGCGGTAAATGGTAGATTAAAGTATGCCCTTGAGCTGCAACATCACATCCAGGTAGAGTTGAGGCTCCTCTCTCAGTTCATGCTGATCTAATTTTCGTTTATTCCATCAGGTGGACATTTATGGAGCATGTGGCAATTTGACATGCTCGCGTTTAACCCCAGAAAAATGCTTTAAGTTACTGGAAAACGATTACAAGTTCTACCTGGCCTTCGAAAACTCCAACTGCATAGACTATATCACGGAGAAATATCTTGTGAATGCCCTGGACCGCGGGGTGCTGCCCATTGTGATGGGTGCCCGGCCGGAGGACTACGAGGCACTTGCACCTCGTCACTCGTACATACACGTGGATAGCTTTGAGTCGCCAAAGGAGTTGGCCGAGTACCTGAAAGTTCTGGACGCTGATGACGTTCAGTACAACTCGTACTTCTTGTGGAGGGGTACGGGGGAATTCATTGACACGCACTTCTGGTGCCGGGTCTGTGCTATGCTGCATAACGAAGAGGAGCTGCTAAAGCCGTACTGGTACGAAGATCACAACCAGTGGTGGCGTGGCCCGGACGTTTGCAGCCACCGCTCTTGGAGGAATAATAGTGAATAGTGAATTTAAATTGGTCAATAAAGTGGAAATGTATTTAAACAAAAGCATAGACTTAGATTAAGTACAGTAGGCCAGCAAGCGAACTGCAAAGAGTATTCCACTTTGGTTCGAATCATTCGAGACATTCATACACTGTTGCTATGTCATCGTATATTCTTTTTGGTTTCTGTGCACCGACTTTGGCCCGTCGGCAAATACTGTGTATTTTGTTGTTGGCTGAGTCGGACTCCAGTTCCCGCACTCCCACTCATTCCATTCGTGCCTCTTCGTTCAAATGTTGTGCGTTTGACTTGTATGTGAGGCACAATCACCGACTCAAACTCTATTGGTGCAGAGTTCGTATTAACTCAATTATTTTTGAGCATTTTTAATTGGAATTGGCTTTTGTTTTTGTCCAGATCTCAGATGTACCTGAGAAGGCATGGAAAAAACTCGACTGGTTAATGTAAACTCATATTTGCTGAGACAAGAATTGCTATGGAATTTATTATTCCGTTTGATTTCAATGTCAATCTACAAGTCGACCTGTTAACAGCAAAACTTATATTTTATTTGTAATTTAACAATTTCCTTAATACTTATGAATACTAAATTTACAAAAGTAATTAACTAATTTCAAGCACCATCAGTTGGTGCGTCTAAAGACTGTTAATAATAAGTCCAAGTTAAAAGGAATGATTTTATCGAATATGCGAATACGAAAATTATCGCTCAAGAAATGTATTTATTTGGCAGTGATCTGCGCTCTGCTGCTTATATTTTATTTTAATAACAAGTGAGTAATGGAGTAATTCGCCTTGAGGTGAATAATTTTAGCTCTTAATTAATTGATCCATCAGGAACTATGAAGAACTGGACACCCCGCATCAGCATCAGAAGGGAAACAAGAAATTTGATACAAGGTTCCAGTCGAAGACGTTCCGAGGCAATGCCTGGTATTTCTCAAATACAGAGTACAATTCCCGTCCGCCTATGGCCAACAGAATTGACAAGGAACACAGGTTGCTACCGTCTCAAGTGGATAAAAGTGACCGCATTGTCAATCAGCTGATGTACGTGCCGCAGAGCTACCACCGGATCGTAGAAAGCGGCCAGCTGAAAACCATTCTCCTCGTCCATGGCCTGCGTCAGTGGAATGTGAAGAGGGGCCGCGATATCTTCCGGATCGCCAAGTGTCCCGTGCATACCTGCGAGCTAACTGACGATATGCAAATGGCCAGCACCGCCGACATGATGCTCCACAAGGAAAAGTTCAAGCCAACGGGAAAAGTTCCCAAAAATTCCAAGCAAATCAACATGCTCTTTTCTATGGCCACCTATGTACCAGTGCCAGATGGTGTTAACTGGACGGCCACCCACAGGTGACTCTTTCGTTCACTCTTTGCATTCATTCATAGCTTATGCGAATGTTCCTTTATTGGCAGACGCGACAGCACCATCGTTGCGCCCTATACGAAGTGGGTGTACTACGACGACAACGTCCAGGAGAGGAAACAGGACCGAAACTATGCGGCGAACAAAACGAAGAAGGTGGCCTGGTTCGTGTCCAATTGTAACGCGGTAAATGGTAGATTAAAGTATGCCCTTGAGCTGCAACATCACATCAAGGTAGAGTTGAGGCTCCTCTCTCAGTTCATGCTGATCTAATTTTCGTTTATTCCATCAGGTGGACATTTATGGCGCATGTGGCAAGTTGAAATGCTCGCGTTCCACGCCAGAAAAGTGCTTGAAGTTACTTGAAAATTACAAGTTCTACCTGGCCTTCGAAGACTCCAACTGCATGGACTATATCACGGAGAAATATCTTGTGAATGCCCTGGACCGAGGGGTGCTGCCCATTGTGATGGGTGCCCGGCCGGCGGACTACGAGGAACTGGCGCCTCGTCACTCGTACATACACGTGGATAACTTTGAGTCGGCAAAGGAGTTGGCCGAGTATCTGAGAGTTCTGGACCGTGATGACGATCAGTACAACTCGTACTTCTTGTGGAGGGGTACGGGGGAATTCATTGACACGCACTTCTGGTGCCGGGTCTGTGCGATGCTGCACTATGAGGATGAGGTGCGAGATCCGGCCCGGTCCAGCAACGAAAGGATATTGCAGGGAATGTGCATCCGCGGCTCCTGGAGGGGCCGTATAGGAATGAAGGATACTCACTCCCTCAGATTGGGGAAGCAAGATTTATTCGGAAACATCAAAGTGGCCAAAAATTTTATGCCAGACTAAAAGATAACAGATAACAGAATTAACTACACTCGATACCAGAGGCTGAAGTTCAACAAAGTGTTTAAATGTCCCTTGGGTCAATGGCTTCTGGTCAATGGCTTTTTATTAAAATTTGTCACGCACAGAAAATGAAATGGATTAATGCAGGGAAAAGATTTTCATTTGGAAAATGCTTGCGACATGAGACGCATGAACGATGACAACGAAAGCGCCGTGTGGCATGTTGACAGGGGCTCAAGTGGCACGTGTGGCATCGGCATCTAATACCTGCAAAATAAGAATTGCATTACTTTTACTTTCGTTCGGCTAGTTATAAGGTTGGGGGGGGCGTTTATTTGGGGCTAGTTTATTTCTTTGTTTGGCCCATAAATGCCACAGTAAGTAGCAGACGACATTTTTGGGATTTATGATAAATGTGAGACCAGGATGTGCTTGGTGCCATTATTTTACTTTAGTTATAATTATTGATCGATTTATTATTTAGTAGGTATTTAAAGGCCTTAAAGCTCCGCCTCATGCCGTGCCATTATCTTATCGATTTTGTCGTGTAATTGTGTATTTTTTTTTATTTTTCCTACCAGCCGAATAAATTCAAAACCAAACGCTTGGCAAAGGTCAGTTCCAAATATCTCTAGTCTCTCTCTTTTGAAACCAGATCAAATGTGACACCAGCCACACATATTACCCCTCTCGCTTCGAACTGATAAGAATACCCCCACCCCATCCCACTCTATCTATCATTCCCATACACTGCTGCCACTTGCATTGATCTCTATTCGATTTTCGAACTTAAATGCCAACAAACTGAACAATCGATTCGAATTGGGTTCTTATCAATTTTCGAAAATACCCAGCGAGCCTCGCGCTCTTTTTTCTACTCTCTCTGTGTCTCTGTCTGTCTGTCTGCATCTCTCTATCTATCGCTGCTGCTGCTGCTCTGCTCGAGAGTTGAGTGTAGATTGTGTGTGTGTGCCGCCTCTTAATTCGATCGCTGATCAGGGCATTATCACCGATCAGCGAGTACTGTGTGTGTGTCGGCCTCGGTCGAAAGTAATTTTCATTGATTTGATTTCATTATTTTTTGTGTGTTTCATTTCGTTTGCCTTTTTTTGTTTTTGTTTTCCTTCGTGTGTGTTTTTTAGTTTGTCAGAGTCTGTTGTCTTGATAACGTTGCTGATCGTCTCTCTAATTCTCTATATACTATATATAATTCTGCCTTTTTTTTTCTTGTCTTTTTCGTCTGCGTTATTGTCTTTTAATTTTGGCAATTTTTATTATTAAAGTAAATGTGCAAATAAAATTTAATCGAGTCTCGTAATTGTCGTCGTCGTTTTCGCAAAAAGTTACAAACAAAAAATATATATATATACATATATTAAAAATCCTACGCTTATGTCATTACGTCTTGTAACGTAACGTAACGTGTCAAAAAATAAGAAAAATAAATATATATTATTTATATATATAAACAAAGTGATTGTATCGCTTTTTTTGTGGGTGTTCTGTGGTCTCTATTCAAAATTCAAAACTACCATTAACTACGTCTCTCTTTCTGTGTGTGTCCTTTATATACATGAGTCTTATGTGAGTACATCTCGAGTGGAGTATCATAGTTTTTAAGCCTATTGCAATATGTATGTTTTTTTCGTGTCTATTTATTTTGCAACTCTAACCTCATTATGTGTCTTTATTTCTCATTAAAAACCACATGGGTTTTTGCTGTATAAAAATTCTCTTTGTATAGATTTTGTTGTTGCTTGGGTTATCTGTTTTGCGTTTTTTCTGTTTTTTTTTTGTTGTATTTTATTGCTGTCAATATGTGTAAATAAAGGTTTTTTCCCCAATGTCTCCATGCGCTCTAATATTTTATTTGTATTCGCTGATTTTAAATGCTAATTTAATTGATTAAAAATGTGTTTTAACTGGGTTGGGTACCTAAGCTTACTTAGCGAGAGTTTGTTTGAAATTTTTGCTAAAATTGTATTTAATGAAATAGATTTGAAGTTTTTGTGTAAATGATTTTTTATGCTGGGAATTAAGTATTAAGAATTAAGCATACCTCTTATGGATCGCTGATATCGTTTGGAATCGTTTTCAAATGTTTCTCTTAATCCCTTTTTACCATTAATATGAACCAGAATTATGGATTATGTATATATAGCGTAATCTGAGCGCAAATCAATTGACAATTCCCGGAACCTTAAACCCAATCAATTAGCCATAATTAGACGGAAGTCGACGACGCTCCGCCAAGTAGCAACGTATCACTTGTTGCATGAATAATGCCTGCCAATAATAATGCCGTTAACAACAAGTACACACACACACACCCACACATACATAAGTTTTGTTTGCTTTGACAAATACAAGTTGCCTCCAGGAACCGAACCCATAATAATATTATTTATGGCCCTCGGGAGGGCCACCAAGACACGAAAGCAAGAAAGTGGATTCTCCCCCCTTCTATCTGTGTGAGGTGAGTGTGGGTGGTTTTCTGTCTCCCTCTAACGATGGAACTTACATACAATTTATAGATATTTCATTATAATGGTGAGAGGGACCAAGAGACAGAAAGTATAGTAAATTGAAGCAGAAAGAAGCTTACAGATTTTTATTTTTGCTGCTGCTTGTTAGCTACGTTTTGAGTTTGGTGTGTCCCTCCTTCTATCTCTTCTTTGTCCCTACATTATACCCTCCAGTATGTGCTGCTTGTTTGTTGTTTTTAATACATTTTGATGCTCTTTCAGAGTGAGGGAATATTATTTTTTGGACTCAAAGAAATAAATGTCAAGAAAAAACATTAAAAATAAATAACTAGCAGTACTAACAGACTATCCACATCCTGCCCTAGAAACGTTTTGATTTTCCAGTAAGCGTATCAAACACTTCGGCAATCGTAAAATTACTATTCTTTTTTTTTTTTATTTTTATGTCATTTTGTTGTTCTCAATGTTGACATTTGTACAATGTTTGTGTGTGTGTGTGTTTGGGTTCTTAGTTTCTTCTTATTGTTCTTCCTGTTCGCATGTCCTGCATGTAAAGCTTCCTGTTTACTGCTTTTGTTCATCGGCTTCTGCTGGTTTTTTAACATATGTTTCATTTATGTTGAAAGCGATTTGTTTGTGTTATTTACAAAATGCAACAACACTCTGACGAAACAAATTGAAATTCATGATGAATATAGGAATGACCATCGTGTGGTCATATGCTAGTTCCCCAGAATAGTTATGCGCCATTGGCGGAGAGCTACCATGAAAGGAAAACTATTTACATACATATAACCGACAAATAATTAGTATAATAATAATTTTGAGAGCTTTCTCCTTGAGTTATTTGAATGCTCCCCAACAGATTGTTGCCCATAAGAGTTCTCCGGCAACTTCAAATAAACTTTGTACATTTTAGTTAAGTTTTTAGCATTGTTGTGCTGCGACCCTTAACCCTTAGGTTAACTTAACAGGTGAGTAAACCTCAGCTCAAGAGTGGGTAACGATATGCCACTCCACAAAATTTGTAAATGTTATTAGAACAAAGGGAAAAGTTTTCCACTCCAACCTAATTGAATTTTGTGTCTGTATTGGAAAGCATTTGAATGAGCCGCAAATAGCCAGGGGAAATATCAATGGGTCAAGATCTTTAAATAGGCGATTTAAGTTTATATTTAGATGCACAAAGGTATAAAGACATTGGGTAAATTGGGTTTATACAAATTGCAAATAATGTACAGTGAAAAATGCGAATAATAAAATGGACACCTGACAATGATTCGGTGATTTTATTTGTTATTAGTTGATTTATGATTGCCGTCCATAAAGTAGAAACCCAAAGTGTAATGGTAAAAAAATAATAACAAACTTTGCTTCGATATTTAATTGACTTTGTGGGCTGTGCGAAATAAGTATTGGGACACCGAAACACCGAGACATGTTGAGTTTTCCCATTTGACTTCGGAATTTCAACATCCTCGATAGTATAGTGGTCAGTATCCCCGCCTGTCACGCGGGAGACCGGGGTTCAATTCCCCGTCGGGGAGAGATGTAAAAGTTTCTTTTTTTTAATTCTCTTTTGTTACAGGTTTGACCTTTCTGTGCTTTTTGTTTTCGTTTTGGTTATTTTTCATACATTTTTTTTTTTTCTAAACCACTGATATTTGGGAGTATTATGAGGCGCTCGAGGCTAGCTAAACGTCCTTTTTTGTAGGATTTTATCGAACAGATTGGAACATATCACATTTGGATCCAATACCAATCAGTACTTATTCAAAACTAGTAAATATTATTTGTGTACCATAGAAAATGTAATAGTAAGATAAGTAATGCTCATGCATTTGAATTTGCCATAATGCTATAATGTTATCAGGTTTATTTTATTCTCATAATTGTTTCATTCTTTCAACATAATTGCTGCGAAAATGATTGTTCTTCCATCAAAAACAAAGCACAAAAGAGAGCCTTTTAATTAGAAGAGACCTAGAGAAGGTCTTGCAAAAAGTCAGCTTATCTATCCCCACCCTTTAACCACCTTAATTTACTTGCACCTCCACTATTATGCTCTTACCCATCACTCAGCACTCAGACCCACTCTCTTAATACATATTAAGTTGTTTTTGAAACTAAGAAGCGGCAGATAATGAGAGAGAGAGAGAGAGGGGGAAAGCATCAGTGGGTAAGGTGCGTATCAAATATATATGATCCATTAACAATTTTAGTTTCCAAACTGTTAGCAATAGAAAAACAATTTAAAAATACCTAATAAAATAAATAAAGTTTGATAAAATTCTAAATAAAATTTGGGGTTGATATCGCAATTTCGAAGAATGTGTGTGAAAAATTCAGACCAACCTACTAAAGTATATGATGGTTAGGTACTGCATATAGTTTTGATACGCACGTTATGAGAACATTAGCAGCAGCGGCCGTTATGCAGCAGCAGAGCAGAGGCTGGAATAACAGCAGCAGAGAAGGAGACGGCAGGCAGAGCCAGAGCCTGTACACCAAAAGTTAAATTATAAAATCGTCAAAAGTTGACGAAGACGTTTTGGCTGCGCCTATGCAAACACGCACAGCAAGCACACACACAAAGCGAGAGCGAGTGAGAGAGAGTCGTCAGCCACAATGTGATGAGCAGTCGAGAAGAGAATAGGTGG